ACAGGCCTGCGGGAGTCCTTCCTAGTGTGGAAAAATAGTTTACTGCTGTATAAGAGGACCCTTTGTAAAGAAAGTGCAGCATATTTCTCCTTATTAATACAGGAAAATAAGTTTAAGTGTAAAGTGCCTTGAGATGACTTATGCTGTGAATTGGTGCAATAGAAATAAACTGAATTAAATTGAACCAGCGGTTGAATGACAACATGCGGCTAAACATGTCATCACTGGTCACTTAGTCGATAAAATATATTTAATCAGGAGAAGCAGCTGATTGGTTGATTTTTATTTCATCCTCACTCACTCCGCCCTGCTCTTCCCTCCCTGAGCCCCCAGTCTGAGGGAACTTCATATCTTTACTTCCTGTTCTTCTCAATCAGCGCTCTGAGCAGAGGTCAGAGCATTCATGAAAAGGTCAACTCCAGGAAAGGTGGCGCTACTTCCACGTTTCACAGAAGCATCAGTGAAAAGAAGCCAAAAGACCTGAATACCTGAACCCTTAATCAGATCGATTGATAATATGAATAATGAATAAACCATCATCATAATAATCAAAATATGTATGATGAGATTCTGTGTGTGTTTGGAAGGGATTCTGATTGTTTTATGTCTGTTTTAGATCAGTGTTAGATTGATAGAAGAGGAGAGGAAGAAAGTTAGAAGACTGATAGAAAGCAGATAGAATGAGAGCGGAGGAAAATAGAAACACTGATGGAAAGATCAGTTAAAGAGAAGGAAGTAAAACGGAGAGCAGGCAGGAGTCAGCTAGAAAGAAAAGCAGATGGAGGGAAGAAGGCAGAATGACCAGATGGCACTTATAAACACCATTGAATGATTCATTTTATTAATCTGAGGAAAAAGGAGAGAAACATTCCTGGATTTAACGCTTGATTTTTGTTGTTTATTATTAAATATTTAAAAATAGATGAAAGCATCGCCGTCCCCGTTTCCTATTTTAATTTTTATGAAATTTGTTTACTTTTATTTCTGAGCTGGAAATGTCTCCAGGTTAGAGTTCAGAAATCTGTTCACTTGCTCTTTGTGTTGAGAGTAACTTCTGAGTTCTGACTGCATTGGCATTAGCCGTTAGCTGCATCAGTAGTGAGGAATCTGCTAATATGTGGGATGAAAAAAAGTCTCCAATCAGGAGGAAAACTGTCTGCTGTGCTTTGGAAGGAGTCGCTGCAGAGGAAGACACATCATTTAATAAAAGATAGACTTTATTTTGGTGGAGCAGCAAAGTCGCTGCTCCGGTCATTTCCTTCATAATCACAACATTTTCAATCACAGCTCAAATCGGCGACAGCAGGAAGCATCCAGAGGTTTGAAACAGGAAACTCATCTGATCCCTTTGATCATGAAAGCTGCAGATGATCTGGGACCTCAGGCTGGAAGTTTGTTTCCAAATGATCCATTTCTCCACATCATCGACCTGAAGGTCCCAGGACTCCACAGCAGATCCTGGCTTCCATCCAGGAGAGCCTTCAGCGTGAACAGCAGCTGGACGAACCGTCATCTTCCAACTCTACCATCACTGCACTGAAGAGGAGACGCTCCTTAGCGTCATCAGCGGTGAGGAAGAGGAGAAACCGCAGCCGCACAGCTGCTGCCTTCCTGCTCCGAGCTGCACTGACTGCATCAACCGTTTCAGTAGGTCCTTCTGACTCCACAGGAGCTTCAGCGTCTTTTTGAAAGCAGAGGCCATAGCTGATGCAGCTCCAGAGCTTCCAGAGCTCCTCTGCTCGCCATCTTTCCTGCTTCAAACGTCCTCTGACCTCTGGGCAGATGGCTGCAGGCTACGCTCCCCCTGTCAGCCTCTTCTCCAGCCGGTCCAGCTTTGCCAGGTTTTCCTTCAGAAGTCCGGAGCCGGGATTCAGACGCAGAGCTCGTTGATAATACATCCTGGCAGCTGCATAGTTTCCCTGCATGAAAACATGAAGGATGAGAACTTTAAAGGAAAAATCCACTCAGGATTCAACATTATTCACACCATAGACTAAACAGCAGTGTTCTGCAGAGTTATAAGCCTTAGCTAAGGACAGAGCAGCATTTGTCTCTGAAAACATGCAGCTGATCTCAGCGTTTCTATAGCAACAATAATAAAGAATAAGATGAGTTGGAGCTGAAGTTACCTTGATGTGCTGAATCCCCCCCATGTTCATCCAGGCCTGAGACTGGTCTGCTTTCAGCTCCACAGCCAACCTGTAACTCTGGCAGCAAACACACAAACAGTGACATCATCATCATCATCATCATCATCATCATCATCATCATCA